TGTTTTGTTTGAGGTTCCCCATACAACTGTAGCTAATTTTTATGGTATTGCGGTTGAATATTTTGAGGATCTTGAGGATTCCTTCAAGACTTTCGGCTTATACCGAGACGATGGCCTAGGAATCATAAACGCAACGCCTCGTCAAATAGAGAATACAAAGAAAGATCTATGTGCCATCTTCAACAAACACGGTCTAAAAATTACAATCGAAGCCAACAAAAAAATTGTGAACTTTCTGGTCATAACGCTAAACCTGGAGAGTGGAAAATACATGCCCTACACGAAACCGAATAATACACCTCTATACGTACATAACAAATCAAACCACCCACCCGGAATCCTCAAGAACATCCCAGAGAGCATCAACAAACGCCTATCTGAAATATCATTCGATGAAGAGTCATTCAATAAAGCAGCACCACTATACCAACAGGCCCTCGACAAAAGTGGATACAGTCATCAGCTAAAGTTCTCCACAGCGCAACAAATAAAGGACGCCGCCAATACCAGGAAACATCGTACCAGAAACATAATTTGGTATAACCCGCCATTTAGCAAGAATGTCGCTACCAACATCGGTAAAACGTTTCTAAAAACGCTAGATGATGAATTCCCACCAAATCATACATTGCACAAAATGGTGTACGGTAAGAATGGCCCCGGAAAAAATGGCCCCGGAAAAAATGGCCCCGGAAATAATGGCCCCGGAAAAAATGGCCCCGGTAAAAATGGCCCCATATGACAGGTAGGTAAAAATGGCCCCAATAATCAAATTCTGAATTAAAACTGATTTTCTTGAGTCATTATATGCATTTTTTTATCTTAACTAATTTGGTTTTTAAAAGGAATCTCCCCAATAATCAAATTCTGTAACACACAATTGATCCACATGCTTTAACTACTGTTTATTTGCATTGTTTATAACATGTAAAGTTTGTGGTTATCTATGAGTTGTGTATTTTAGTAGTTAAAGTATTGTATACTGTATGTCATTCCTCTACTTTGTTAGTGAAATAACGTTTTTAAAACTTTTATTTCTACTATCAAAAAATGTTATTCAATGGCCATTGTTTTTCAATTATCTCTCAGAACATTATTTGCATCTGCTGTAATTGTTAAAAAACAAATGCTTTTAAAGAATTTAAAAAAAAATCACATATTGATCTCAGTTCAAAGGAAAAAATAAAACTTATTTCTAAATTTACAAATTTCACCTATAAACCTTTTAATTTCACAAAAGAGTGGGTTCTTTTTCAAACAAATATATCCTGCCTAATATATGTGTGTTTAGATCTTTTGCTTTAACTTTGGAAACTGAGATCATTTTAGATACTATTTCTGTATAAACTAAATTTTTTTTTTCATATTACTGTAAACCTAATGGGTTTTGATATTAATGACAAGAAAGATCGACGTTTCGGGTCCATCATTCTCAAGATCAAGTAAATTGAAAAAACTAAAAACAAAAATGCCAAGCAGTGACAGGAATTAAGTAATTAATTTACATATCAATAGGGCCTACTGTGTGGAGCCACAATGGAGCTAAGCAATAATTAGCCCTTCTTAGAAAATTAACTAGATAAACAGTTTGGCTTTGACTAAATCAGTTTTACTGTGCATAATCATTTCTTATTTAAAATAGAATTATTTAATCAATCAGTAACTTGTGTTTTTTTAAATGAAATTAATGATTTTCTTTAAAAAGATGCTACCCAAGGCGAGACTTCTTTTATACCTTGTTGACAAACTCGCTGACTATTGTACATTTTACTGTACTGTTTTTCCGTTTTAAAATGTTTGTGCTCGTTAGCAATTTAGATTTGTTGTTGATGTTATCCATGACAGTAATACGTACCGCGAAATGCCAGGCCTCTGAAAGTCCCCATCGTTGGTATTCGCCACGTTATTGGAAATTTTTATTTCAAATTTCGCGAAAATGGTTTATAACATTCCCTGCAAGTTCGTCGTTCAAAACTGATGCCGAATCAATGTTTTAGAGCCTCCCATCAGAGCCATTAATAATAATTATAATATTAATAATTTGCCGCAATTATAGTAATAATATCTGATAATATTAATAATTTTAAAAAATACTTAGACCTACTTCCAGAGCTACTCATAGGAGCTAAAAACTAATTTATTTTAGTTCTCAAATATGCATATTCTTTATGTTGATTTATTAAATAAATTTTTGNNNNTGCTACAAGGTATTTTACAACATTTGTTTATTTATTTATTTTTTTCTTTAATTTTATAATTGAGGGCCATTTTTTATTTCTTGATTCAATTCTTGCTTATACAGTATTTAAATATTTGAAGATTTAGAAAAATATATATCATTTCTATTACAAAATTTTTCATTGGGGTCATTTTTACCTACCTGTCATATGGGGCCATTTTTACCGGGGCCATTTTTTCCAGGGCCATTATTTCCGGGGGCATTTTTTCCGGGGCCATTTTTTCCGGGGCCATTCTTACCTACATTCGCACAAAATATTCAACCGCAATACCATAAAAATTAGCTACAGTTGTATGGGGAACCTCAAACAAAACATCGACGGACACAATAAAACAACCTTATCACTAAAAACCGAGCAGCCTAAGACCAAAAGTTGCAACTGCAGAATACCAAATGATTGCCCCATGTCTGGCCGTTGCCTAAATAAAAGTGTTGTCTACCAAGCCACAGTCGTAGCTAACAACAAAACAGACCAGACTTATGCAGGACTCACAGAAAACGCGTTCAAAATCCGGTACAACAACCACACTGCTTCATTCAGAAACCCAGAGAAATGCAACACCGAGTTAAGCAAATATATATGGGAATTAAAAGACAATAACATAGACTACACTATTAAATGGAAAAGCAAGCCAAGGCATTCAACCCATCATCTAAAAGATGCAACTTGTGCTTATGGGAAAAGTACTTTATAATATGCAAATCCCCCATGGCTACCTTAAACAGGAGAAACGAACTTATCACAGCTTGTAGACATGCTAACAAATATCTCTTAATAAACTTTGTATCATAGGCCTATCACCCAACCAAACTCTTGTACAATTTACGACCATTATAAAGTTTATCATTCATTGTCATTTAATCCTTTGTTAATTACTTAA